ATTCTATCATAGCTAATTAAAACACTTGGTACACCAAGTTTACAGTTGTTATAATATATAAGTTACCGTCCGTTAATTTCATTCACTACTGATAATTTCTCCCAATCATGAAAATTTTGCACTACTTTGTCACTATGAAAATTTATTACCTGCTAAACATTCTGATGTTAAAATGAAAACGTTCTGTCTCCAGTATTAACGAAAATAACATGTGTACTGCATCACCAGAGCTTTTTTGTCTCTAACTCCAATGTTTTCATGAACAGCCAGTTGAATACTTTCAACTCTTTACTTCTCATCAGGTAAATATGAGATGCATCCTTGTTTTCTACTGGTCTAAAATTCTGATTCCTGGTTCAGCCAGTGTACCAGAGTTTTGTCTATGACATAAAGGCACAGCTTACTGGTGTACTCCATGCTATTGTGTGCATCGTGTAGCTTGTACATCAGTGGACTAATCTGATAGAGTACAAGATATATTTCTTTGCAGCCAAATTCGAGCTGTTCTTGTGACACCAGTATGTACCAATGCCAGACCCAATCTCCATGCCAGTATATCCAATCCTTTAACATTTTGTTGTGGTATTTCATTTTACATTTAGCAACCTTTCATCATTGTTGATGTACAAACTCTTGTGTATCAATTAACACAGGCCTTAACCACACCATATATTCTTGAGGACATTGTGAGACACCTGCTCTAGGTGGATGACCGTACATCATGTCCTCAGGAAGCACGAGCATGTATGGTGAACAACCTGTAGACCTTAGTTGTTCTGTATGCCATCATGATGTACAATAATCATTTGTTCCAGTTGGTTTATCCAGAATTAACAAGCTTGACAAGGATGTACTTTATAGTTTGCATTAGCTGTCCTGCTAAACCATCACACTGGATGTGATAAGGCAAAGCTACATCTATATCACACTGAACACTTTACACAACAAAGAGAAAAGTTGGATACTAAAATTAGCATCCTGATCCATGTGGATCTCTTCTAGTGATCTAAACCATGATATACAGTGTTCTGCTAGCACGTTAACCATGGAATATGCCAAAATCTCAACCAATAGCTAAACTTTGGCCCACTTTGTGAAATAGTTGAAAGTAATGTGTAAATACTATAAGCCTGTTTCAGTCTCTAGAAGTAGACCAGCAATATCCAGGGCTGTCCTCTGTAGAGGAGATCCAATAGTTCTTTGCTCTTAACTAGTTTTTTCTGAGCAGTACATACCATACAGTATTCACACAAGCACTGAAAAAGCCAATTTGAATTCAGTTAGTAGAACTGTAATCAAATGATAACACAAGTGTGTATTACCCCTTGGTGACCTCCAGTCTTTGTGTTATGCAAAGTCGGTAGAATTTCTTGTTTAAGAGCTCTTGGGACCACTAGTAGAAGCACAGCGTGAGAACCAAGGCTTGGTGTTTGATAACAATGGTACAGAACACCTACTTGCACATGCAACTAATCATACAACTACCATGGGTTACATGTTTCTATGCAACATTCCTCTTTTTGTGCTGACTAAACTTTACATTGTTTCATGCTAAGGAGTACCAATACTAGACCTGGGTCCTTCAGTCACTTTTCCTGAAGCTCTAGAAGCATTATATATATGGTGTCCATCCACTAGTGGAATTTCCCACTACAAGGCTTGGTGTTGCTATGACGGGAATGGTTTAAACACTAATACAGTGTCTAAAATCAGAATATTCAACGAATGGACAGTCTCACTAAGTGACGAGACAGTCTGACCATATGTTTGTGTTGTGGACCAGGAAATATAGTATGGCAAAGTCTTATTCTTGTAAAGTTATTATCCAGCATGTTATCATCCTTTCCAGATTTTTAAAGTAAATATAACATTTCAGTAAAGTGTGGTCTACTTGGGCAGTGAACCTCTGACCATATAAGTAGTGTAGATAGTGCTTTATTAACACTACAACTGCAAGCAATTTGTCTTTGTAATGCAGTATCTACATTTAAGAACTGTGAGCACATAACTAGCAATAACACTGCCTTAATTCCACTATCACTGGTGTCAGTGTCCAATAGGAACTCATTGCCTTGTCTTGGATATGCCAGCATTGGAACCTCCATTAAAACAAGCTTAAGATATCAGAATGCTTGTTCCATTCCTTTTTCCATCCAAAGTGAGGCTCCATTTTAGTAAGAGCATACAATGGTGATGCTACCTTGAATAAACAAACTTAATATGATGCAAACACATAGAAACTGCAGATTTTTCACTTGGTTACAGGCTGAGACCAGTCTCTTACCAATGCTATCATAACAGAATCTTTAGAGACTACATCTATACATAAAGTCTGACCATTCTCAGGTTTCCATCCACAGAATAAATGCCAAACATCATTTCCATAGATCAGGCATCTCTCTTGTCGTACCTCCTTCAGCGCAAGCTCCAATAGTCTCTTGAAAGTGCTGGGAGTATTAAATAGGTCAAATGACATGAAAAACATATAAAAGCCATCTCTCATGCTCAGCGTAGTCTTAGCTCTGCTCTCGTCATCTAGTTCAACTTACCAGTATCTGGATGCCAGATATAAAATGTTGAACCAGCATGAACCTACCAACATCTTAAGAAATTCATTTCACAACAAGGGGAAGGCATCGACATGAGTAACCTGTTTGCATGTCCAAAATCTACACAGAATCTTAGCACGCCTTCCTCAATTCTAATAATCACTACTGGAGATGACCAAGCATGCTCCAAAAGTTGTGTGAATTAATACATTTCAGCCAGCTTTGGGCAGACTTAATCACAGCTGGAGCTGTGTTATTCTGATTAGTAATGACCCGGGAGTTTTGTACTGCCCACTTCCTACAGTCTCTGTCTTATGAGACACTATTCCAACTCGGCAAAACACAGTCATCTGTGCTTCCCTTACACTGAATTCGATTTTCAGGAGCAACAGACGTCAACTGATCTTTCTGTGGCGGCAGATAGATCAAAGTTGAAACATCAGCAAAAGACCAAGTCTCATAGGCCCGACAACTCTCTCTCACACACCCCTCTCTTCATCAAAATATTTCTCCCACTCAGTCAATCTTTAAATAAGAAAGTTTCTTTAAACTCAGTTAAGTAATAACAATACACATGTTAACAGAAAACTCTGCAATAATATACTATGGTTACAGCCTTCTTCTTACTTAAATTGATTTCCCAAAAGAGTAAATTAGGTAGGTTCACTATATAATGGGAAGCTTAGCCAGATAAATTTTGAAGTAATACTAAATTCTGCTAAACTAATCGATTCTGTGCTAAAAAATAAATGGATTGTACACAAAGTGTGAAACATAATAAAAGCAATCTTTATTTCACCATAAACATAGTGTGTGCACTTGCTGGACAATTGTCTTTAGTGAAGTGGTGAATTGATCAGGTTAGATTTACTCTCTCAAGACTTTTTCAAAGCTGACTGACTCTTTTTAAATGATGTTCGAGACTGAATACATCTCACATTACTTAGTTGTATTGGTAAGGTCGACTTGCCCAAAACAATTACCATTCAAACATAAAGGAGGTTGCAACCTCGAAACATTGCTTCACATACCTTTGGAAGACACTGCTATCGACTTTCATGCACAAGTTACAGACCACAGTCACATTCTCATCATGGTAATACCAGATGTTATCTCCAAGGGAATGACAAAGAACAAACGTAACTAGAATGATATCAACTTAACGAATTTCTTGACCACGAGTTATGTGAAACTACAAATAAAAAATAACTACCACAAACGAAGGATTTAGAACAATTCTACATAAAATAATAAGTTATAAAACGTAGGTTATGCCTACATAACACATTTGCTTATTTACTATAGTTAAATATAATATACTTAAATTATTCAGTGACAAATATGTTTGTATTATGTTTGCTTGCTTACTAATCTTTTTAGCCTTTAATAGAAAAATCTTGAGAGCCCGTGAAATTAAAATGCACTAAAAGTGTGGGTTTTGGAAATGATAGCTTGTAACATAAGGAATTGGAATATTGTTCTCACACAGCTTGATGGTTAAATATTTACCTCTTGAAACATAATATAAATGATGGATGGAATTACTTAGGGAAGTCGTAGGGTTGGCTTTCAGCGTTAAGCTAATACAATGAGCTATCAGCCCTCTATCCACTTCTGGAAATCGAACTTTGGATTTAATATTGAACGTCTGAAAACTTACCATTGTTTTTCAAATTTGTTTGGCTTAAACTCTTCAATTACACATTAATTGATAAGGGGTCTAGGCCTGAAATGTGAAAATAAAGTACTCCTAAGTGAATTTTATGAGCTTCTTAGGGTTTTTTACTAGGTTAATATTTTTATACAATTTGTTAGATTACTTATGTAACTTTTTTTTCAGTTTACTTTATTGTTAATACTAATAACAACTTAGTCGGTGAGATTAGAGTATCATTTTTCTGTTAGATAAATCATGAAATAAGTTCTTTTTCGTGCTAGTTATCTGTTTTAAAAAAGTTATGAAATTAAAGAATACCCCACAAAACGCTAACTTGTATTTCTAAATGTAGTTCACAAGAAATGCATTGTTTTGACCACGTATGTCTATTCAGAATATAGTTTTGTTAATTAGTTATGTCTTTAATAAGGCGTGTTACACCTCCAGCAATCACCAAGTGAAACCTCTCTAAGCGTGGTGAGCTCTTGAACACGCTATGCATTCAGGTTATTTAACCGTTGCTACTAAAGTATATTTAACCCACCTTAATTAATGTTTTGGGTGGTGATTCGTTTGCGATAGTGTAGGGACCTCCACCCACCTTCAGTAGTGGTTCTTCGAACTGCATTCACAGAGTTTCACCCAGTCCACAGCTACAGGTGAAGGACATTCATTACAATTAAGAAATAAAAACAATCCATGTTTTAATCTTGTGTTAGATATCCTAGAAGTAGACTTATTTATCGTCAAGTTCTTAAACAGTTATAATATTGAAATTGTTCGTTTTTCCCCAGAACACCAGGAACTGTATCCGTACATTTTTATTCATTGACTATCAAAATATTTCATCTTCCTAACCGGACACTGAAGAGGTCACTCTACTCAGAACTACTACAGACGGACATCACCTGCTTGTCCAGACATCTCGACGTAAGGCACCCCTAGATGTCCTTGGACAGTAGAAGCGGGACGGAAGTCAGTTTTGACCCGTCAACCCCTGGAAACAAATTCGGTCACAGCCAGCCATATATCTGGAGTTCCATGGGGGCTAGCTTCTCATTCTTGTCAATTTACCAGCGGCTAATTCGGATGATTCGCAGAGCATGGTCAGGCCGAATACGTAAGTACATATCAATTCAATATAGACCAATTAGTCTATGACATAACAATACGCGATGAGTGACATTCTCGCATTTCTCCGGAGAAGTGAGACTAGTTTGTTTGTTTGTTGTTAAGCCCAAAATTAAACAATTTGCGCTCTGCGCTCTGCCCACCACGGGTATCGAAACCCAATTTTAGCGTCGTAAGCCAGTATACTTACCGCTGAGTCCCCCGGTATGTCAGTGCTTAGTTTACGGACTTACGTCGTTAAAATTCGGGGTTCGATTCCCCATGGTAGACACGGTATATAGCTCAATGTGGCTTTGAGTTGAAACAAGCAAGCAAACATATCTTGAGCTAACTTCATATTATATATGTAATATCTGAAGTATTAAAGCTCATTTATAATCTCTTTTTTTAGACGAGGTACCATGGCTACACATTTAAAATTAACATTCAAAAGTTAAGACCACATTTCGTTACATGGTGTATTTAAACTATAATAATTTTGTGCAAATTGTAAAATAGTAAAATAGTCTTTATCACGAGTCAATTGTTGATAGCCCCACCCCACCCTTCCGCAAGCTCCCAGGAAGTATAATCAGGTAATGGTCTAACTGATTGTAGTTGAAAATAAAAAACAAGATAAACTCTGAATTATATGAAGTGCTAAATTGTGTATATATAACATGAAGTATCAAGTTGTCATTTTCATTAAAACAGATGCTAAAAACCGCAAATGTAACACAAAAAAAACACACTAATGAAAAGATCATAAATCACTAAACAAAAATGATTTTTTCAGAGGTAAAATTTCAAATAATAGCGTTCTGTCCGATCTAAACGTTTATCGAAGCACCCTCTTTGCAAAATTAATTTTGCTTTGAATTTATAGGTCTGACATGGCCAGGTGGTTAGAGCGCTCAACTCGCAATCTGAAGGTTGAAGGTTCAAATCCCATCCCACCAAACATGCTCGCCCTTTCAGTCGTGGGGATGTTATAATGTGACTGTCAATCCTACTATTCGTTGATAAAAGCGTAGCCCAAGAGTTGGCAGTAGGTGATGATGACTAGCTGCCTTCCTTCTAGTCTTTCAATGCTAAACTAGGGACGGCTAGCGCAGATAGCCCTTGTCTAGCTTTGCGCGAAATTCAAATCAAACCATTTACGATTTATAACAGTTATATTGAAACGAGCATACGTTCTTGGTAACAATAGGGTTAAACATATAAAAAAACAGCATACCTAATATAGCAACAAAAGATAGCAAACATGCTGAATCAAAACAACATGGCGACGTCGCCTTATCACGCCTTATTAACATCTAAAATATTTATACTCCTTCCCTATATGTTCAAGTGTGCACACCACTAATTACTTAATTACGATTTCTATAAAGTAGACAAAAAGCTGCTCAAGTAATTTTTTTAAAAATTAACGAGGACGATAACGCACATAATGTATATATTTATTTACGATTCAAACCCGTGCATGTAAACAATATAAATAGTTCTAGTAGAAATATGCGTGATATAAAATACAATAGGATTGATAATAGTTTAATTCAGCAAAGAAAGTTGTGTTATAATTTATTAACAGTCTTATTGTGAAGTTATATCATTCACTTATTAGCATCAAAATGTATACTCTGTCAGATAAAGCATTCTACACCGTAAGTCCATTCAACTGTAAAATTTAAGCACCACTACCCTAGGTAATTATTAATATAAACTTCTGCGTAAAAGTAAAGAAGAGTGTATAATAATTTGTCAACCACACTCTACCTTCTATATTCAGTGCCGACGAGGCCTTTCACCTAATACCATTATTCTTCAAGTACGACAGATATAGTAGTGGATAATACGCTATTTTATATTTAAGTTGCTTGCAGTTCATCACAATTAGGTTAAGAATTCTTTCACACTATATTATTAACATATTTTAATACCATATACATTATCAAGTTAAAAGGGCGACGGTCAAATTCCACAATTGGTCAGAAGTAGCCCACGAGTGGGCAATTGGTGCTGTTGACTAGCTACTTTCACTCTAATCAATAATTTCAAAATTAGGGTTATCTAGAGTAGATAGTCCTTAAGTGCGAATGTCCAAATACAAGCAAATTGACATTTTGGCTTATGCCTTCATTAGAAACAATTTATTGCTCATATAGGAGTAGTTAGAGCTGTACTTTACTGCCCAAAGTATGCCGCCTCAGTTGGGGTAGAGCCGAATATGTCATAGTTCCACGACATGTCATCAGATGGCGCGTTGCTGGGATTAAACATATTTATTATGTAGAAAAATGTAAGTTGTGATCTCATTCAAATAATGAATAACAACAGGTTTGTTAAAATCCTACAAGCAGTAAGATTGTCATTAAAATAATGGTTTTAACATAACTATTTCTAGACATTGATAATGTAATCGTATGCGGAAGTATAGTTTCCTCCCTTATGAAACTTGTGTAAGATAAAACTATAAAGTATCATGTGTAAAATGAAATATTTTGTCAAGTTATATTGATATCATAAAGTCAAACTAATGAAAGCATAAGTTTTAATTGGTGTATGATATTTAAATAAGCGTCCTTTTTAAGAAAGATTTACATATAAATAGTCAGGAAATGTAAATGTATGAATAAGCTGATTGTTGTGAAGTAAGGTTGTTTTGCATTTATAAACTAAGTTCGTGTTTATTCGTCTGTGTGTGTCGACAATATTGTATATATTATGCTTATTATCGTTGTCAACATGTGTCGAAACGAAAACTCTATCTAAATTTGGATACCACAAAAATAGTAATGATATGTTTGTTCATGACATTGTTGTAAAACGTTTTCATGTAAATATGTCCTTAATAGACGTGTCTTTTTATGTACATCAGATTGCAAAATCTTTATTGTGAGAAAATAAATAAATTGTGAAAAATAAATGCTGCGTCCAGATTTTGTATTGTAATTATGTCACCGAAAATCTTTAGAATAATCACTTCATATATAATTAAATTGTCCAACTGTAAGTTTTAATTATTGCATGACATTTAAATAAACGGCCTTTTAGGATGATTTAAATATAAATGGTCAGGAAATGTATAGAACTAATGAATTAGTGTTTTATACCACCTGTATTAAATATAGTCATGTTCAGACATGTTGATCAAATTCGTGCTGGTTCCACTTTGTGGAATTATTACATAATCGTCTCTGACAACATGGCCGCCTAGTAACGCGGCCGTAGTAACACGCCATCTGGTGAAATTTTGTGTAACTATAACGTCATTGTCTTTGATGACATCACGTCCCTATCCCATCTCCCCTCTCTCCCTGTTGATTGAGTCGGCATCCTTTAAGCAGTAAAGTACAGCCCTAACTACTTACAGGTCAACAACATCAGTTCTATTTATATATTTTTAACAGTTGCAGCATTTATCTGTAAATATACTCTAGAAACTCTAAAAACGTCTTCATATTTTCATCAAAGAAGACTGTTCATAATGCAAACACTATGAAGAAAAATAAATGAATTGAATTATATATTCATAAAAGAGAATGACTTTAATGTCTTTCATATCCTTTGTGAAAAATCCTTCAATTAGGCACTCAAAAAAGTGTTTAAATTATTTGTTTGTTGTTAAGCCTATAGCTACACAATTGATGAACCGCTGTGGAACAAGTTTGTTAGAACCTATATGTATTGATCTGTATTACCCATATACTGAGTGTTGTCACCGTAAATAAACATATTTTATTTACAATATTACAGTATACGAGAGAGATAGACAGGCAGATAGCTTTACGGATGGAAGAAGGGGGCGTAAAGACTATTTAATTAACCCAAAACTATGATAACAAGACAAAGTTCTTCAAAGAATCAGATATGCATCACTAGCAAGGGTATAAATAAGTAATAACATTGCGTTCTATGAAGAAGGTTTTTAAGACCTTAGCACTTCCAGGGTAGCGAGACTTCTTCTTAACTTACAGTCACGCAAGTAGCTTGTGTACCTAGGACGAATGAGCTAAATAATTCAATTGAATCGTCACAGGTCCCCAGTGAACTGGTGTGCTGTGAAAATGATTGCGTCAAAGGTTTTGAAAGATCCAGGATTTATCTTCTCTTTGTTGTTTTAATAAATTATCAATACCTTTCGGTACAAAACAAATTACCTATATACATTTGAGCTAAACAATTAACATATTAAACAGTCCCCCGGTGTAAAAACGGTAAGTTTACGTGCTAACAGCACTAAAATCCAAGGTTCGATTCCCCGCGGTGGGTACAGCAGATAGCCCAATGTGGCTTTGCTCTAAAAACACAAATGAATAAACACTTTAAATAACTCAACTAATTTAATACACTGATCTAATTAGGAATATGCAGTTTCATAAAACAAATATTAACAATGATAAGAATGCATTGATTTGTCATTTGGCTGCCCTGGTTGCTAACGGCATTTTTGGCCGTAATGCGTAATAGATTTAAGTTGGTCCTCAATCCATATTACTAAGCCAACAATGCAAAATGATCCTCAAGATAAAGATAGAACAAATAAATTAAAATTAATATGTTATATAATTAAACATCTAATTGATAGTGTTAATGAGACTAACATTAAGCCCAATGTGGCTTTGCTCTAAAATAAACAAACAAATAAAAATCTATGAAATTTTACAAATTTGTTAAACAAGTAGAAAATAAAGTGTTGCAAGGAACCACGTGATAGTAGAATAGTTCGTTCTAAACACATTTAGTGACCTTCTAAAAGTAGAATCAATAACTACCAAAGACTTTTAAAATACTAGCCGGTGGTGAAAAAGATCAGTTTCACTAATGATAATTTTTTCTCTATCAGTAGGTTACTTTTTAATTGGGAAAATCTTTAAAACTAAACAAGGTAAATTTTTAAGAAACTAGCTGGTGATAGAAGGGATCATTACGACTAATTATAGTCATTTTTTTATGAGTAGTTCCCTTTCATTTGATAAGAACTGTCTCACAAGTGGAAGAAAACTTTTA